CCCCTTGGGAACACTGTTTCCATGTTTTATTGGGGATGGTCCGGAAACATGTCCCTTTCGTTACATCAGCAGGCGCGTTCATCATCTCGGAGTGCGATCGTTTCTTCTGGACCCGCGCTAATCTGCGGATAGCGGCCTCCGGTCGGTTATTTTTGGCTGTGTTGACAAGATCACTTTGTGTTGGCTTTCTGCGTTCATTGGAAGTATTTCGTGGAAATTTAGATACAATTCAGTTTCATTTCCGATTCTGAAATTTCCGACCAGAAATACTTGTGTTTTCATCACTTGGTTTCGGCGATCTTGCTATCGTCATTTTCTCCGTCAATTGGCCGCCATCTTGTTTTCGGATTATTCACAATGCCGAAGCAGGTATCCTGTGGCACTTGCTCCAAGCTAGTCGGATACCGTGCAAATACCCACACGTGTGTTTTGTGCCAAGTTAAATACCACATTTCATTTGTTGGATTATCAGTTGAGCACTTTCATCGTCTTCGCGAGATCCAACACGATTTCGTCCAAACTATATGTGAAAAGTGCCGAAATAAGATAAAGCTAGGAAGAGTAAAACCGACGTGAGGCCTCAGCATTTCGTTGCGGACAGCTCCGTGTGTTTGGCCCAGCAACCTAGCCCGAAGAACCTTCAGGTTTCAGCTCAGTCGTCCTCCTCTACCCGTGCAAACTCACGGACACGAAGTCCAACCGTTGTGAGAAGCCCAGTTGCATTTGCCATAAATTGTTTACCTTTGTTGTGTCCAATGGACACTGATGTCCCAGCAGGTGAAAGTCTGAGTGCTGAAGACCAGTGGAAAGAACAAAGAACGAAATTACGAAGGGACGTTGGGCGTTTAAGTTCTGTAACTCAACAGTTAGCCAAACCACGTGAGGCTGGTAATACACTTCGCTCTGCAAGGTCAACCTCGTCCGACCAGAGGCGTTATAATCTCGTGATCTTTCACGCACAGGAGTACAGTGATCCATCACCCCAAGTGCGCTACGATCACGATGTCGAGTTTTTACAGGGTCTAATTGATAGACTCCTCGACGCTGGTGAGGACTCGGTAAAAGTGAGGCAGATTACCCGTCTTGGAAAGCAAGGTGCTCAACAAAATCGGCCTATGAGAATCACTTTTGTGGACGAAGCCAGTCCAAGACTGATCATGTCACACCTAAGTAGGCTAAAAGGTTTGAAGATCCATGTTCGTCCCGACCTGGACCCAGTAGACAGGGAGCGGCTCAAGTCTGCCATCATTGAGCTGAAAAGACGTACTGGTGAGGGGGAAACAAATCTTCGTGTCGTAAATTTTCGGGTGGTTCCCAACAATCTGCGAATCAGGGTAAACAGGCTGCTCACACTTCAAACACGCCCGGCGGCTCCTGCTGCGGTCTGCGAGTAGCCTTCACAAAGGTTTGCAATGTTATGAATAAGCGCGATGAGCTTTGTTGTTTCGTTGCGTCTGAGCGGCCAGACGTAGTGGGACTCGCAGAGACATGGCTGCATTCAGAGTTATACACCCAAGAACTTGAACTCAGCGGTTACTCGTGCTTCCGATGCGACAGACTAAAGAATGCCCACGGTGGTGTCTTACTTTACATCCGGTCTTCCCTGCTTGGGAGACTTGTGAGCACCTACCGAAATGACGATGGTTTGTGTGAGCTACTGTGGTGCTCCATTCGCCTCAGGCGCGGAGAACTGCTTGTGGGCGCAGTTCATCGCAGCCCCCTGAGTCGTTGTTTGGATTGGCTGCCCATTCTTTGAACCCACATGAGTCGTCCACACTTTCTACTTATGGGCGATTTTAACTGTCCTCGAATACGATAGCCTGATGTGCATTTGATGCCTGGACATAGTGAGGTTGAAGCAAAGTTCGTGGATTTGGTACTTGAAACTAGTGCATCGCAACACATATGCCAACCAACACGCATAACAACACGTTCAACCTCGTCCTGTCTCGACCTGATGTTAACGAGCTACGAACAACGAGTGCGTGACGTTAGAATCCTGGAGCCCCTGGCTACATGCGACCATTCAGTGCTCATAGCTGCTATGGAGTTATCTTTGCCGTATTCACGTCCGCTGGAACCAACTCCCAACTACTGGAAAACGGACTTCGATGGTCTAGCTCGAGCCGCGAGCCAACTGGATTGGTCTCTGTCACAAGCTGCATCTGTGGAAGATTGTTGGACATTTATAAAAGAGAGATTGACATCATTGTGTTCCCAATTTGTGCCATTGAAATGTCGGAAGGTTGGACCGATTAAGCCTCATTGGTTTGACAAGGAGTATGGAAACCTGGCTCGGAGGCGACGCAGACTGTGGGACAAATTCCTCCTCTCTGGCTCTGCCAATGATTACGAAGGGTATAAATGTCAGCGGAACCTCTGCAACAGTGCAAAAAGAATAACCGCCGACATTTCGAAGAGCAGCTCCCAGTAGCCGCGAAGACCGCCCCAAAGAGAATCTTTGCATACGTGAAGCGACGCCTGAAGCCGGCAGGTGATGTGCCAGTGCTGGATGGCCCGGATGGACAGCCCCAATCTCCCGCAATGAGGGTACGTCCGCGTTGGCGGCGCACTTCTGTATTTGCAAATGACCAAGTGTCTGTTCCGAGTTCGACGTGTACCGCTTTTACGGAACTCGATAGTCTGCATTGCGGCGTTGAAGAGGCGGGTCAACTACTCGCCAGTCTTGACGGCACCAGACCTGCCGGACCTGATGGGCTTCACCCACTGGTCCTCAAGTCACTTTCGACCATCTTCTATCCTGTCGTGACTGACATTTTCAACATGTCGCTGTCCGAAGGTTCGTTGCCGGTTGACTGGAAATGTTCGCTGTTGAAGCCTATTCCGAAATGCGGCGACCCTAGCAAAGTAGACAACTACAGGCCAATTTGTCTGATACCTATTTTGGCAAAGGTTGCTGAGAAAATCGTGAAGAAGGGATTGCTGCAGTTGCTACAGTCAAACGAGGTCCTGACGCCCGCACAACACAGTTTTGTGCAAGGTCGCTCATGCATTACAAACCTGCTTGTGACGAGGCATGAGTGGTTGAAGGCAATAGGCAAGGGGAAATCCGTCGACGTGATATTCATCGATTTCATTAAAGCGTTCGACAAGGTCAGCCATGAGGTTCTCCTTCACATACTCAGAATGCGTAGTGTCGGTGGCTCACTGCACCGGTGGATCCGCGACTTTCTTGTTGGACGAAAGTGGAGGGTACAGGTCGACGACCATCTAACTGACTGGTATCCGTCTACAAGTGGCGTGCCTCAAGGCACTGTGCTGGAGCCTACTCTGTTCCTGATCTACATCAATGATCTACCGCAGCTTATCCGGTCGGCCGGTAGCCGAGTGGTCTGCGCGTTTGGTTTGCAACCATAAGGTCACCGGTTCGAATCCGCGTAGGGGTGGGCATCCTCGCGGTATACTCAGCCCGCGCGCGACTGGTGGTGGTGGTCGCGCGGCAGCGAAGCGCCGTTACGGCGTTCAGCTGACACATTATTATTATTATTTTCTCCGGTCGCCGTGTGCCTTGTTTGCGGACGACATGAAGATTTGGAGAGAAATTGATGCTCCCGACGACTGTGGCCTACTTCAGCAAGACCTCAACCGCCTATCCACATGGTCTGCAGAAGTTCTTCTCCCGGTCAACCCAGCCAAGTCTGTATTTATGAGCCTGGGGAAAGGTCCTGACGGCCTAACCTACACCCTTGACGGTCAAACGCTATATCCCACACCCTCCGTGAAGGACCTAGGTGTACTCTCATGCTACGATTTGAAGTCCGTGGACAACACGAACAGGCTATATCGTAACAGACTGCGCATGCTTTGGGCGCTCAAACGTAGCTTCGGCACATGGTCTGAAGAGGTTGCCATTCGCCTCTTCTCTTCCAATGCTAGAGTACGATTCACCCGCCTACTTTCCGATTACCTGAGGCGAGGCACAACAGATCGAACGGGTCCAACACGTTGCTACCAGGCTCATCCCAAGTTTACGTGGCTTGGGGTAGGAAGACAGGTGCGAGAAACTAGGACTCTATACCTTGTCCTACCGTCGGATGCGTGTCGACCTCATTATGACCTACCGTATTCTACATCTCGATGACTTCCCCATGCTGACGCCAATGCTGCACTTACGAGGGCCATGCAGCACACGCGGACACAGATACAAACTTGTCGTGCCGGATGTGAAGCGAGTTCCCCACCCACTGTGCTTCGAACGGAGAGTGGTAAACATATAGAACAGTTTACCTGAATATGTGATGGAGGCAACATCTGTGCAGCAGTTCAAAACGTTGTTAGATTTATATTTTACCACTATTCGATTCAGAGAACGATTGCACACTTACGATGACATATCACATTTGTGAGTCCTGAAATATCGTGAGTCAGATATTTTAAATGTTACATGAGAACGACGACGATATTCACGGCTGAAAACTTTTGTAACGTTTTCCACCATATTTCGAAAGAGTTGTACAGAATTCATTTCTACTTACTCTATAATACAGTATTCAGTATGAGCATTTATCTGCCCATGGAAGTCAGTTGCCGGTATTCTTTTTCATTGGAAGTCTGACGTGTGCTTATTGTGGGTTATCATAATTCAGTATTAATTATCACAGCGTGTGCAAAAACAACTGCATCAATCCCATTTCGCTGCATAGATTGCAGTTGATCAACTGAAACGTGGCACACTGGAACACTGTCGCTTTGTTCTGGTTTGCTGCCTTCCACCTCAAGCAGGATTATTTTAATATAGAAAGTTACTAAGTCTTTCCGACAGTCGTAGCGCGTGTATCAATGCAACTACTAATTACCATCTCATGTAAGCAGATATCCAAGTTGCGGGACGGATCTACGTCGTCCGTGATGAGTATCTGCCGCCCTTACGACAGCGCCCTACTTTTTCTCTTCATGTTTTGCACATCCAGTATTAAACACGCGTCAATTTTGTCGTATTGTACTGAAATTCGAATGAGCGTTTTACCTGATTCTCGTAGCTCCTCTCATGGTCTGCTATCTGTCAATGCCTGGAATTGGCCTTCACTCGCCGACTGGACGTGTCAACACAATCGGAGCAACTCTTACCATTCCACTAGTCGGTCGTGTTCGTATCAGTCTCGATCTTTTGCCTCAAGGGATGTTCGCACTCATTCTTCTCTAAACGAACGCGCAGCCCCTCGCTTCACGCTAGCTTTCCGTGATCCACTGATTTCAGCGACTCCATCTGACTCTTCTGGCCGACGCAGAATGCACACTCCTGCGTCTCCTCATCGCACACCAATACCGCAATATGCTCCTCACAGAGTGTTCCAAACGGATGAAAGAGTGAGCAGCTACGATCCACGATCTCCGGATTCCATCTCAGTAAGTCGGCGGCCTTCACGGATTTCTTCCACTTTTCTGGCCACTCTCGGTCATCCAAAATAGTGTAGCTTGTGATGTAAGATCGATACATCTGCTGAGTGGTTCACTTGGATCCAAATCAAAACCAAGTCTCGGCAAATTTATACACTCTAGTTCACTCCTCATTCTCTTCAGTTGCACGGAGCCAGCTTGCTTCTTACTGGGTGCAATAAATGTTTGCGTTTCACTTCGCGCTTGTTTCCTTGTTCACTAACACCTACATTCACAGTTCCTGGCAACATACCACAAGAGTTCATTTACTGAGTGAACATATTTTGCAGGCTTTCTAATATGCTACCTTAATTTTGTTAGCCTATTCAAGCCACTACATACGAAATTTTTCTGGCACTTTGTGTGTTCACCCTAACATAAATCGCCATCATTGCGTATTCCATCTGTCTCCTGTGGGGCCAGAACCCGCGAGCTTACTCTTATAAGTCCTTGATGAAAACCACAGAGCTTCGGGGAACGGCTACGGCCGACATTGCGCGGCTCACTCACGTTACTGTCGTGCAGAGGACAGTTTAATCCCCTCAATGAGCAACGAACAAACAAAAGCCACTAATTAACTTTGACACTGTAAGTAATCTAGATTGTGTGCTTGTTACAGAGAAGCATTCGGGGATCTAAATGGGATAAGCTGACTCCACCTCTCTGCGACTAGTTTTAGGAACTTTAGCTTACATTTTTCCTTATTGTATCTGTTCACCACTGTCTATTTGGCGCTCTCATATGTATGTATCCACACGCATCGGTGAGCTTGTCGATTTAAGACACACAGGTGGGCCGTTTACTATTTCATGTTCCGTTACAACATTAGCACACTGCTAACAATAATCTTTGAACGCATATGTTATCAGGAAAGCAAAACTTCAACCCTTGCGTTAAAAAAATAGAAAACATAATTTGCGATGTCAGTATTTCTCATCAGTCGCCAACACTGTAGAAGCAGAACACATACATGGTTATATACGTGGGTTTTGAGTCTCAAATAAGTTATAGTCTTCGATGCCTTTATTTTCCAACTTAATCCGCCTCAAGCACAACACACTTGTTCCATTGGTGCTGAAGCGCCTTTACCCCACTTGAAAAGAACTCTTCAGATTACGACTGAAAATGTTTCTGCGGCTTCAATGACATCACTGTCGTTAAGAAAATGTTTGTCAGCTAAAGCTTTTTTCAAGTTTGGAAATAGGTGGAAATCAGATCTGGTGAATATGGAAGCCTCATTCGTGGATTGTTTTCTGAGCAATGGAGGAGTTGTGGGCTGGAGTATTGTCGTTGTGGAAAATGACTCCTCTCCTCATCATTCTTGGCCTCTTTTCTCCAATTTTTCGTCTGAGAAGTTTAAGTTCACAGTAATACTTTCCAGTTATGGTGTGGTTTCTTTTAAGGTAATAAATTATCAATACACCTCGGGAATCCCAAAGTACGGGTGTGCCATCACCTTGCCAGCTGACGGTGTAACGTTGGCCTACTTTGACATAGGCGATGATGCACGATTCTTTCTGGTTGCAAGTGGTGGACTCAGCATTCATCTATAGTGATGAATCATGCAAGGAAATCATCGACATCTCCCTCAAACAGTGCCACATTATTCTTTGACATCACATGTCGAATGCGCCTCTGCTCAGGATTCCGAAAACGTGACACCCATTGAGCAGAAACTTTCGAATAGCCTAACTCCTTCATCAGAATATAATCTGTTCGCTCCTGTGAAATGCGCAGTCTCTCTGTTAATCGGCGATCTCGCATGATCATATCCATTACTAGGTCAATACTTTTTTTTTAACGATTGATGGTCTTGCTAACCTGGGCTCATCTTCGATATCCTCCCTGTCGCTCATAAACTCTTGCACTCGACATTTACCTGTGGCAAGTGAACCGGCATTGTCATACAATTTATTGAGAATATCTTGGTGGATTTCAGATGACGACGTCCTTTGAGAAAGAAATATTTGATCACTGCACGATACTCCAATTTCTTCATTTTAACCAAATTGCAGACCCCGTTCTCTTCAAGAATCTGTGAAATGAAAGGAAGAGAGGTTGAAATATGAACTTGCGTAAAAGGAGTAACGAGAAGTGATAGATTATAAAACATGTTATTTGGTTTACCCAGCTATCTGATTTCTGTGCAAGGCTCAAAACATTTCCTTCAACTTACGTATATAAATATGAGCAACATCAATCCAAATTTCGCAGTCAGGACCAAGGCAACCCCATTGAGTGCCTCAAGAGTTTCCGTGCACATAACACAAGTTGATGGGCCCCACCGATTCCCAGTATCGTCGGGTTCTTTTCGCGCAATAACGCGGTCTCTGGATTCATATGATGAAGAGTTACCATGAATTGCTTGGTGATAGATAATATGCGGTTCCGATTCATCCTCCGATCCGCTCTATTTCGTTGGGTCACGATTTGTCCCAATCACTTCGGAAAATGTTCAGCTACCCTCTGAGCTAACTAACGGCCAGTTCTATCTACATAAATGTCACATCAACTGTGGGTGAACTGGTAAACACTGTGGGTGGTCGAACTATCTGATGAACTGCTCTGACGATTATGACGAACAAGGATTCGCGTGGTATGCCTGAATCGCAATTGGGCGGTTGTGTAGATATGTGTTAGGATGGACCGGAACTTGTGCCCGATATCACTTTATATATGGACGCCTTGAACGATAAGAACAAATACACATCCTTTTCTGTCATTAGGCCCGGTATTTTCTTGGGAGACCTGCTGTGAATCTGTATGAACTCAGGATATCCATCTGACACTAAGGTCCATAGCATAAGTTCTGTTGTGATCCTACGACCCCTAATGCAATTCGGAACGAACACGCACGGAAAAACTGAACACTCACAACGAAATCACGGCACAGAATCACAAATGCACCAGTCAATAGCCCCAACCCGGGAAAGAAAAGACGAGACCTCATGCATGAGATCTGTTCACACGCAAACACGAGGAAGTGATGTGAACTCATGTTTGGTTTAGGTCATTCAACGGCCTTGTCGAATCAGCCGATCATAGGTCTCCTTTTGAAGCAGAAACAGATAACGCGCACCGTTTAAAAGTCAAAAAGTGGTGGCTAGCAAAAAGTCCATGGTTTTGTCTGATTCTAGTGTAGTTCTTGGGAAATATGGCCATTTCCCAACACTTCCCCTCTTAAGAAAACTGGTATCTAGGACGCCAGCACTTCCAGTCCGTCCATCTGCCGGGTTGCAAGGAGACCCGTTCAGTTGGTGCAGTTGATGCCTCTGTCAATGGGTTAGTGATGAGCCCGAACATGTCTCGCAGTGTTTCGAACAGCAGTTCTTTCTTAGTGGCTATGACGTCGTCATGACGCGGGCGGTTGACTTTTGTGTCGTACCCACTTGTGCGATCCAACCGTTACTTCATACACTACAGAACCACGGCGACCAGCTACCACTGCTGGGACCCATGCTGGATGACCTTGCCTGTAATCACGAGCGTAGACCAAATCACCAATTGAGAATGTTTTCCCTGATGGATGCACTGGGGCAAGTGATGATTTCTCCGACGGCAACATTGCATCGAAGATGGTGCGTGGTTTCCTGCCCATAAGGCATTCGGCAAAGGAGGATCCATTTGGAGTGTTCCTGTAAAACTTGAGGAAATTCTGAATGTTTTCATCAGTAGTTCCCTCCCCTAGTATTTTCAAGAGTTCCCGTTTAAAAGTGTCTACGAACCGTTCGACCTGACCGTTTGATTGAGGGTGGTACGGTGGGGTGCGAACGTGGTTAATAACACTCCGACGGCAGAAATCCTCGAAAAGTGCCGATGTAAATTGGGTTGCGTTATCTGAAACCAAGGTATCTGGAAACCCATGCTGACTGAAAATTTTGCGAAGGGCAGAGACGGTGGACGATGTTGTTGCATGTGAGAGAGGAATGATTTCGGGCCACTTGGACGTTGCGTCGATTACGATGAGATCCATAATGCCGTTGATTGGGCCACCGAAATCGACGTGTAAGCGAGAACACGGCTTATCAGATTGAGCCCACGGTTGGGGGGGGGCACACGTAAAGGGTACTTGGCGGTCTGTCCGCAGCTGGTACACCGCTGAACCAAGATCTCTATTTGCTGGTCGATACCCAGCCAGTAGACGTAGCTTCGGACGATGGCTTTGATTCGTCCTGAACCAGGATGGCTCGTGTGAAATTGACGTAAGACGATCGGTCGAAGCGAAGAGGGGATGACAATGCGATCTGCGAACATTAAACAGAAATCAACTATGTACAAGCTTGCTCGACAAAGCGAAAGCTCCTTTAGGTCTCCAGTTGATGCTCTCATGAGCCATCGGTTGCGAACACAATTAATTGCTTCCTGAAGGACAGGATCGATGCTCCATTCTCTTTTGATGTCACGGAGAGTGATGGGAACTGCACGAACCACGTCAGCCAGGTGCGAACGAACATCCGATTCCATGGAGACTGCTGCGATAATGACATCTTCCTGCTCTTGTCGGTTTGCACTGATTAACCGGGAAAAGGCGTCGGCCTGACCGAAATCTTGAGTTTGCAGCTAACAGATGTCAAAATCATAGTCGAATAGAAAGGTTGCCCAACGCTGCAATCTGCTGGCGGAATATGTCGGAATACCCTTCTTAGAGCTGAAAATAGTGAGTAACGGCTTATGATCGGCCAGTAAACAGAAATGGCGGCCATAGATCATTTTATGAAACTTTCTCACGGCAAACAATAGTGTCAAAGTCCCCTTTTCGATTTGAGCATGATTCTTCTCAGCTGGCGTAAGGGTTCGAGAAGCATACATGTTTGCCTCCTCCGATCCATCTGGAAATACATGGGAGCTAACGGCACCGATGCCATAACTGGAGGCGTCTGCGGCGACTACAATCGGTAGCTTGGAATCAAAATGTGTCAGGAGGAGGTGGGAACCTAACATTGACTTTAGGTAGTTGAATGCGTGTTCAC